GAATCCCCGACTAACGCCAATTCAGTCGGTTTCGATCCTAGCTAGAGGCAACCGGACGTCTAGCCACACTGATGAGCTGTGATACAGCGAAACTGTCTGTGGATGACAATATATAAGTCAGTGTCCGTTGATTTATAAGGCACAAAGCATCATTGGCCCATATCAAAGATAGTAGAATATATACAATTTTCGTATATTGCACACACAACCATGAGATATGTCTAAATGAAATGGTTATACGTTGGGTAGCTCAACTTGGAAAAATCATCGCAAAATGTTGCAAACAACTCGAACATTCTGTTTTATGAAAGAGAAAAGTTCAATATCTTTTTACAAGCGCCCATGTGTATCAAATGATGGCTAAGCCTCGTGGAGTACAGTTCATTACAATCCTCTGCACGTTGTAAAATTTATGAACTAAAAGAAATAAAGGCTCTCTATGTAAAATTTATTTCATTTCAAAGCATTAAAATTTAAATATTTACTAAGTCTGCTCTCGTTTAATGCTTGAACATGCATCTCAATTTCCTTATTTGAATCTCCAGCCATTGCACTAATTCTTACCATCAGCAATAGATGGAGAAGCTAATATATCGAGAAGGACTAATCGATCTGAGAGAATGTATGTTTTTATCCATGGGTAAACAGGCAATGTCTTTTTCTCACTCAATGTCCGCAAGATAATCAGATTGTTTAAATATGCAGTGACATGCGAACTGATGTAATTATTCTGTTACAAACAGTTTTATTAGATGAAATACTCATTGAAACTGATTGATGGCTATTGGCAGGGTTACAAATCTCTGTCTCTCTGGGGGTTTTTTTATCATCAGTTATTCATACTACAAGGGGACAGCCGAGGTGTGTGTATGTTGCTATACTGACATACAGCAAAAGAAAGATTACTAACATAACCCCGAAATTATCCCGTTTGCAATTTAAAATTTAGTAATCTTGAAAGCACTCAAAGAGTACATGCTTTCGCCAACGTCATTATTATTTAAAAATGAAAAAAAATATAACTGAGTAATCAGATTATAATAAGATTATATCGTGTTGTGATTAAAGCGTGTAAAATTAGTAATCAAAGTTACTAATAACTACATATGAAAAGTCGGAAAGTTTTTTTTTATATCGAAGTTATGTCTCTTCCAAAATATTATCATGAACGTTACACGATTAATATTACACAAAATTACGCTTAAATATATAGAAAAAGGCTGTCTTCTTCAAGACACATAAAACAATTGAACGGTCAAGTGAATGAAATAAACGCCCTGACCCGGAGTTGTGTTGACCATGTTCGCCATAGTCTATGAACATAGAATCCAGAGCAGTACGTAATCTGTTCAACAAAACAACGTTAAAGATTAATACTCACGAGTCAGACACTCTACTGAATCTGACTATATCGCCAATACCACCAGAGATATAGAGGCCGAAATGTTGTGAATATGGCAATGACGATGAGGATAGGTGTCCGAATAATGTAAATAATACAAGTAATCATAATACCTCAACTCAGATATATAGTCAGATATTAGTTTTCAAAATTATTTAAGAAATTGAAAATTCAGGCAGGCATCCTTCAAATTGAAATTAGGTATAACAAAATTTATGCTATGCTCATTGAACATGAGGAAATGCAAAGCGAATGATATCTGGAGTACTTGCAAAGAATGACGACCTTGTCTACACTAATTTTAAAACTTCGTCTCTCTTTTCACTATGAGTAGAACGTCTGCTCATAGGAGCAGGGCTTGCAAAGTGGGTCGCAAGGCCTAGCGTTGAGGCGTACGCATTGTCACACCGATCTACGCTATTCACTATTATTGTATTATTAATCGATTTCTCTCGTGGAATTAAACTTTTCTTACACTAAACTTTGTTCCAGTGTTCCAGTATTATTAACTAGAAACTACTAGCTTATACGAGCATTACAACAACACCCCGCTGTAATAGCCGTGTGTCAAACAATGATAAATCTCGCGGATTTTTGCTCTTCAGCACGATTCTTATTTGACGATATATTACAAAGGCCAGACAAAACTAAGCCTCGAGGATCGTATCTAGTAACCCCGATTCTCACTGAGTACTTAAATATAATAACCTCGCTGTTTACCATGTTCACCATAGTCTATGAATATAGAATACAGCGCAGTCCGTAATCTGTTCAATGAAACAACGTTAAAGATTAACCCTCACGAGTCAGACACTCTACTGAATCTGACTATATCGCCAATACCACCAGCAGCTGTTCCGTAATTCTTCAGTCTTCGATATCAAAGGATGGCAGTGATATTTAGCCCCCTCTCACGAGGGTTACATGTGGCACAGGGCCGGGATTAACGTGGGATCTCCGAGCCCGTAGCGTAGGCTCGGCCAAAAATATTCCCTATTCGAACGCGTATAAACGGGTTCAGGGGCAGTCAACCTCCCCGAACGAGACTCTGCCCTTCGGCGGAGCCCCGTCCGGGTTATCAAAAGCTAGCAGTGCATATTCGGGAAAAACATGGCCGCCTTTATACACGTCGCATTGAATATTTTGAGACTTCTGATTGGTTAACACTTCTATTGGTGAACTATAATATGAGTCAGCTCATTTTGGCTGGCTCACTAGTACTGGCTCCGGGCCTTGGCTAACAGTCTAACTCTCTGCCTTTGGAGAGGAACCCGGACGAGGCTCTGCCGAAGGGCAGAGTCTTGTTCGGGTTGGTTGACTGCCCTGAACCCGTTTATGCGGATTCAAAGAGGGAATATTTTTGGCCGAGCCTACGGGCTCGGAGATCCCACGTTAAACCTGGCCTTGTGCCACATGTAACCCTCGTTGGGGGTAGTTAAATATCACTAGTACTGGGGTACCCAAAAATTCCAACAAATGTTAGCACCTGTTAGTGAACAATCCAAATCAAAAATACCATGAAATTATAAAAATTACATTTTTTATAGTAAACATAACAGCAATACATTTTTATACAAATAGACTGACAATATATAATCAGCAATCTGTAGTTGAAGGCATACCAATTTGTGTTCAAAACATTTAGTTGAAGACATAAAATTGTGTTTAAAATATTTAGATTTTCAGCATTAAATAAACCATACAGATTTATATGCCGCTAAACACTGTTTCATGATATTAATCCATATAATATCTTACAATTTCTTAAATCAAACTGTATCCAAAATATAACTTTAAAATAGATTAAACCGCAAACATCATTGCCTGTATCAGTTATAACTGCACTTATATAAGCACAAAAGTTGAGTATAATCTACCATGTATTCAACTGTGAAAGCAGAATAAAATATTTTTAGATTTCAAAGCTACCAGAAAAATTTCGGCATTATTTAATAAAAATATCTAACTAAAAGAAACCTTAAAGATCAACTTTTTAATGACTCTCTATGGCAGAACCCCTGAACAAGAGAGCTCCTAATCAGCGTCTGTCCCTGTGGTGCAGCCAAATTAAAAACGTGCTCCCTCTCAGCTCTTCCAAATCCCTCCGCCCTTTCTCCAGTGATGCTTGGCCCTTCTGATTCTCTCGAAATCGACTCAAAAAAGCTGTTGATTACTGTAGAATCAACCTTCAGTAATGGGAATATGCCACCGATTTAGATCCCAACTGCTAATGCAGACAATCACAAATTAAATAGCATCTTCTAATTTGCCTGATTCTTAAATATTCAAAGACACTTAACGCCCTTCAAAGCCGTAACACCTCAGGCAAGGCTCTGTGTGAAACACTGGAAAGGATATAGTGACGCCACTCAAAAAGAAAAAAGCTAAGATGAAAGATATTTCTATCACAGCAACGAGCAATGAACTTCAGGTAACCAACGAACCAAGTGTCTCGACATAAAGTATGGGGCCGTTTATGGGAAAGAAAAAAAAACCTTCATCAATTTTCTCGTTCTGCTCTGAAGTTTAACTTCCGGTATATATATATATATATATATATATATATATATATATATATATATATATTTGCGTTCACTAACGCACAGATGCGTTTAGGAAAGGCGCATATTTATTACTTCACCCCTCAGATCTGGTATAAATAGCAGAGTAAACTGACATTTCTAATACTGAATCGCAGCTGATCCAACTCTGAAATCCAAAGCTAAGAGACAGTAACGGAAAAATCTCCAGAATATTTCCCAAATGTCATGGGAATTCCCAGATAAATAAAAAAATATCTTTGAAAAGTTATTATCTTCTGCGACTTGAGGCGCCAAGGAATTAAACAAAAATCTGTCAAATTCTTGTCGTACACTCGAAACTTCAATTTCTAAATATATATATATATATATATATATATATATATATACATATATATATATATATATATATATATATATATATATATATATATGTTATTGGTAATTTACCCACGCACGCATGGAATCTCTCAGCTATAAATAGGAGCAGGTGCTGCCTTTTCCAGCAGTCACCTCTGCCAGTCGGACCGAATATTCTTGCCGTAACACTCTCGTTTTTATATGTTTGTATTACTGTTTTGGTTAATATATTTGTTTAACTCAATTCCTCTCTTGTGTCTTTATTTCTGGCACTAACAAGGCCACAACAAATATATATATATATATATATATATATATATATATATATATATATATATATAGTTGCGTTGATGTGAGTTGTGACCCTGGGATACATGCCCTGGGATCCTCAGGAAAACTCTTGTCTGACGATCGCAAAGGCCAAAAACCCAGGGTCACAAAACACATCAGGGTCGAAAAACTCTATCACTGATATTGAGATCTTTCCATTAAGCATCGCGCATATATAATATATAAATAATACTCATGAAAATTGCATATATATATATATATATATATATATATATATATATATATATATATATATTATAGATACATACATACATATATATTTGTTTGTGTGTGTGTGCGTCTCTGTATATTAGAATTTGCCATATTTTTAAAAGTGTGCTCTATATTGTGGGATAGTGTGCTTATATTTATATAAGATAGATAGATAGATAGATTAGATAGATAGATAGATAGATTTTGAACAAAGCTTCGATAGATACATACATACATAGTACCCTACAAACTTTAATGGTAGTTTGTTACTCTATATTTCCACTTTCATCTATATCTGTTTTTCCTTTTGACGATATTCGAACAGAAGATATTCCTCTCCCAAGGGATCTTCCAGTTTGCATTTCATGAACTTTACGGAAGGAACCAAATCAATCTGTTTTTAAAGGTGTTTATCTTTTCCATTTAGACGCCGGTGGCATACCAGAACAGAAGCCATAGTTTATCAGCACCATTGGACCGTGTCTATTGAAGTCAACTTCCGGTATTTATTGAATATAATGACTGATTTCTTTTGATGTCTGCATAAATTTCCCTGTTCTTCCTTTTTCCCTTTTTTCATTTCAGAGAAGAAAAAAAAAGAAGCCTTTTTGGTAAGATTTCCTAATGTAGAAAATTTGATTGCAATGAAAATCTCTTCTCAGCAGACGTGTAGAATTTTCGACACATAAAATTCCGAAACGACTGAAAAAAATAACTCAAATTATGTTTTTGAAGAAATCGAATAAATATGTTAAGAAAATATATTGTGCCATAAAGAAAGCTGGTTTTGTTTTGGTAAAGGTTTGCAATTAATATATGTGCAGCTTTTAATCTAAGAGGTTGGTCCTAAAAGCCTCCAGAGAGTGTTTATCCTAAAACCGGTTCTCCGTAAATGGGAATCAGTCTTAAAAAAAGGAATTCAAACCCAACCTAAGAGATAATTCAAACACAGACTACGGATAGATAGATAGATAGATAGATAGATAGATAGATAGATAGATAGATCGATTGGCTGATTTTGAGCTGACCTAGCTGGATAAATAGTTAGATCTGAACAGACAATAGGCAGACACAACAGAATGAGATAGATAGATAGATAGATAGATAGATAGATAGATAGATAGATAGATATGAACAAACAATAGGCAGATATAAACAGAATGAGATAGATAGATTGATGGCTTGATTGATTAATTTTGAGCTGATCTAGATGGATAAATAAATAGATAATTAACATGCAATGGGTAGATATAAACAGAATAAGACATTATTGAGAAACAATAGAATGATAGATAGATAGATAAATAGATAGATAGATAGATAGATTGAGATAGATAGATAGATAGATAGATAGATAGATAGATAGATAGATAGATAGATAGATAGATAGATAGATACGAACGGGCTGAGATAGATAGATAGATAGATAGATGATATGAACAGACAATAGGCAGATATAAACAGAATGAGATAGATAGTTTGATGGCTTGATTGATTGATTTTGAGCATACATTGATAGCTAGCTTGATAGATAGATAGATAGATAGATAGATAGATACGAACGGATGAGATAGATAGATAGATGATTAGATAGATAGATAGATAGATATAAACAGATAGATAGAAGATGGATGGGTAGATAGATAGATTGATTGATTTTGAACAAACAATAGGCATATATAAACAGAATGAGATAGATAGATTGATGGCTTGATTGATTTTAGATAGATAGCTATCTATCTATCTAGGTAGATAGATAGATAGATAAATAGATAGATAATTAACATGCAATGGGCAGATATAAACAGAATAAGATGGATGGATAGAATTGATTTTTTGAGCAGACTTAGATAGATAGATAGATTAGATAGATAGATAGATAGATAGATAGATAGATAGATACGAAAGGGCTGAGATAGATAGATAGATAGATAGATAGATAGATAGATAGATAGATATTGTCCTGAAAGGCTCCAGTGAACACTGTGTCGACTCATGATTACTTCTTTTGTGTTCCATTAGTAAGGAGGAAGTTCCATTATGACTGCTTAATATATGAAAGCTTTACATTGTGGAACAAACTTCCGAGGAGATATTTATTCAGGTTCTAATTTCTTATTTTATTCAAGTCAAGGGTTATCTGTCCTAGATATCCTCATAATATATCCATCAGAATGCGATCGTTTTTTAAGCATTTCACACCAAACAAGGTGGGAGTGCCTCTAGCACGCAAGGGGCTACATAGAGTAAGTGCAAAGGTAAAGAGGGGTGTTTGAGGAAAGCATGTAGAGAAGGACGGGAAATAGCATCAAGGCATCAGATGCCGACATTACATTTGAATATTCGAGGATTATATCTATCAGGGAAGCAAGTCAGAGGAAGGGAATTCTACAGGCGAGAAGTGCGAGAGAAGATGCTTTTGTCTTAGTTAGGATAGTCGATGTAGGGCTCTTAGGGTGTCCAAGTGTCCATGAGATAGTTTATACGGACAATAGGCTTGTCCGTGTCAGTGTAAACTTAGATAAACCAAGGCCTTCGATAGGGTTGACCATCGTTTTCTGGAGGCTGTTCTTTCGGCGGCCGGTTTCGGGCCGTACTTTCGCACCTGGATCCGACTTCTGTATGCGACTACCGTTGCGCTAGTGGAAGTGAATGGAGTACGATCGGAGCCTTTCGTATTGTCTCGCTCCATTCGTCAAGGTTGTCCGCTTTCGCCGTTGCTTTACGTTCTTGCGTTGGAACCTTTCCTTCGCAAGTTAAAGGCGAATCCGGTCCTACGCGGAATTGCCTTGCCCGGTGCTACCACATCGGCCAGGTATTCTGCCTATGCTGACGACGTTTCGGCTCTTGCTTCACCTTTACCTGTTTCAACAGTGAAAGCGTGAGGCCGAGATGCCAACCTAGTAGCACGCTTAAATTCATGCAGATGGTGCACCAGTGAAAGTAGCTCGTCAGCGCACCTGCCATGAAAATATTTGTAGAAAAGACAGAGGGAATCCACAGCACGTCTGTTAGTTTGCCACTATAGACGGAATGCCAGATGTAGACCTATCATATTGCATATCCGTCTTTGGATTTTCTCTAGGACCTCAAGATGAACAGCGAGGCACCAGGTCATATATAGCAACAGTATTCAATGCAAAGACTAATCAACAGACTCTATAAACTGGTACTAAACAAAATCACAAAGGGCTTTATCAAATAACAAACACCCATTCACTTGAATGCTGCAAAAAACAGTAACAATAAAAAGGGCAAATGTGATTAGCAAAAAGAAAAATATTGACAGAATAAGGTTGATAATTTTCCACACAATTGCAAACAAGAGATTTAAAAAGAAACACTCATCAGTATTTTTAGGACGTAGGTGATCATGGCTCTCCACGACTTTCTGTCCCTTGTAGCTTTTAATAAACTTTGTCTTTCTGTTATTTCTCCTAAACCCCGTTCCGCCATCCATTTACTCAAAATCATTATTTTATGTGTTATTTTCCTCTGGCTCTCTTGCCCTTGATCTGTCCCGTGGGTAACCGATTTTCCAACCTCTCTTCCTCGATATATATCATAGAAAGCTCAACTGTACTTTTTAATTTAATTTTGTTTCCATTTTTTCCAAAACTTCGTCGTTGTTCACGCGTCTTTTCCACGGTATCTCCATCATCCTTCCGTAGTACCAGATTTCTGTTGCTTCAAGTCTTCTCTTCATATTTAAGAAAATTGTCCAGCACAGGGGAACAGATACCACGTGGCAGTTTAGTACATATTTCTTTATTTCTAGTGATATTTTCCTATTTGTTACTAGTCTATTTAGCTTTTGGAACGATTCTTAGAGCTGAAAGCTTTAGTCGAGTTGAGAAGTCCATTCCTAAAAAAATCATTTTCGGTAAATAAACGTAGAAAGTTTTCTGTATAGACACAATATATGTCCTTTCATGATGTAGACGATCATGCCTCTCCACAACTTCCTGTTGTTTGTAACTCTTGACAAACGTTGCCATTTCATTATCTTGTTTCGTCATCCATTTATTCGAGCTCATTCTTCTTCTTCTTCTAGGTACCGTGTCCCTTCAGATCGATTATGGCTCTCCACAATGTCCATTCCTTTGTAACTCTTAATAAATATTGTCTTTTTGACATCTCCAGTAAACCTTGTTCTGTTATTTATTTACTCAAACTCACTAGATAGGATATGCATCGTTTCCCGCTGTCCATCTTGCCTTCAATCTGTCCTGTGGGTGTCGAAATTTCCAAACCCTCTTTCCTCATTATGTACCTTCGAAATTTCAACTGTCTCTTTTTTATGTTAAATATGTGTCCTTTTTGCTTCCGTTTTATTAAGAATTCGTTGTTGGTTACATCTTCAGCTCGTGGTATTCTCAGCATTTTTACCATTATCATATATCACATATAACTTGATTTACGTCCACATCACGTTAAAACCCCTGTTCTCAGATCACCAATAAAATTAAGCAATGTCGAGCCTAGACAGTACCTAGATGAGTGACTGATTGTGAAAACGAGGTACTGTAAGCTAGAACGTGCGAGTGGTGTAATGGATAATGGCTCAAAATTGTTAAACGGAGAGCCGAGTTCGAATACCTGTTGGGTTTGTTAGATTCACTTACACTCAACTACCCTTGGGAAAGATCTGAATCCGCCTCTTCCCCAAGATATGGGTTAATCTGTAAGAGTCGAATCATTAAACAATTAACTCAAATAAGAAAAAAATGTTACAATGTAAACCTATTTTCTGTATTTAAATAACCTACAAACGGTTGATAAACCGTAGAAAAGAAATTAATCAATAAAAACAAGATGATATAAAAGGAAGAGAAAGTAATTATTTTTTTAAGCATTTCTCCCCAAGCAAAACGGGAGTGCTACTAGCACGCAAGGGGTTACAGAGGCTAGAGAACAAGAGTAAAGAAGCGTGTTTGGGAAGAGAATAAAAAGAACGACAGGAAACAATATAATAAAAAATCAATGGTAATGGGCATAAGAGGTCTAATATCTTGAAAAGGTGTTAAAAAATAAAGGTTTTATAAGTGCGACAGACAAATACTCTAATTACTTGTTTTAGATCAAGAGGGATAATAATTTACTTTTTGTTTCCATTCATCTGAAGGGAGACGGTACGTAGAAGAAAAATGAGCTCGAATAAATGGATGATGAAACAAGTTTTTCTGGCAACATTTTTCAAGAGTTACCTATTAAAATGTTCAGTCTATGGTTTTGTGCCAGGCTCAGCCGACAGTAACACTAAATTTCTTGTATGAAAATGCTTAATCTCACCATTGTCATATATCACTTTGATTGGAAACCCTTATCAGTATTAGAAAGATCTATAACACCTAGTGGATTCCCTCACGTTCTGTAAACTCCCCACGTGGGGTATGGGGCCACCGCCTAAACATGCTAGATGTTATTGTTGTGGTTTCCTTAGCAAGTAAGCTTTCATGAGATGAAGTTAATTGCACCAGACACGGGTAAATTTTGACTTTTGTCCTTCACCCAGACTAGTTGACAACCAAATCAGATGACTACTACTATTTTACCTATACATGGGAAGAAGAGAAGAATGTATGTCTATCCCATGTATTGACGCAAAAATGAATACAACGATTTCGACTAGAATTCGAACACAGTTCGCTGAGTGCATGTTCGGAGCGGCAGATCATTTTACTAGCTGTTCATTCGTTTGAGGATTTGAGATGTTTAATTTCCTGAAAAAGATATTTTTTTAATAGAAAGATTCCACAGATTCCAACTAAAACGGCTTTAATGACTGCTGACCTGAGATGGGATAAATACATTGAGACAATTGCCTCGTCCACCGCAAGGAAAGTTGGCTCCCTGAGCCGCGCCAGGAAGTTTTTCTCCCCGGAGTCGATCCTCCAGATCTACAAATCAACAATTCGCCCTTGCATGGAGTATTGCTGCCATATATGGTCTGGTGCCCCTTCTGTTTGCCTCGGGGTTCTTGATAGGCTCCAGAGGCGGATATGCAATGTAGTTGGCCCTGCCCTGGCATCTCGTCTACAGTCACTTTCTCACAGTCGCGTCGTCGCCTCCCTCTGTCTGTTCTACAAATACTTTCATGGAAATTGCTCCGAGGAGCTGCATTCGCTGGTTCCCAGACGTCATGAGTTCCAGCGCCTTACGAGGCTGGCATCCCGCTCTCACCTCCTCACTGTCGAAACTCCTAAATGTAGCCGTCTCTTCTACTCTAATAGCTTCATGTCTCGCACCTCTCGCCTGTGGAACTCCACTCCCTTCTCCTGTTTCCCTGCGAGCTATAATCTCCAGCTATTCAAGTGTAATGTCAATCGACATATCCAGTTGCCTTGATCTATCCACTACCCTCATCCTTTCTTCTATCACTCCTATCTGATCTTGCTCTAAACTTTCTGTAACGCCTTGCGTCCTAGTGGCTTCCCGCCTTGCTAGGGGTGAAATGCTTAAAAAAATAAAATTACTGGGTCAATTATTATCCCTCATGGAAACGTTTATTTTCAACATAATCACACGAAGCTACATAAAAGTGCCAGTTGATAATGGATGATTAGCGAGTGAATTTTTCCCTGTTTTACGAATAGAATCTCCACTGACAGCTCTCAGTCCATGGTTTTGTGCCAGGCTCAGGTGAGTTTAGTATCTCTCTGTCTCTCGTCTTGTACTATTAGCAGATTGCTGTTCGTATGGTCAGAATGACTTGTCTATAAATGACAATTAATCACCTCAGAAACTCAATATTTGTAGTCCCATTGCTGATTTGTTTTTTGTTGTTTTTTTTTTCCTCGTATTGTTAAACCATGAGAAAGCAGTTCAATACTGGAAGAAAAAAAAGATGAATGAGTACTTCAGTTGTTGACGCAAACAATTGGACCCGCCTTCCATTAACATCAGAACCTCACTCAATCTAGCTTTCTCTTCTCCAGTTAAAACAAAGAAAAGAAAACTATT